ATAGATGCTAATTTATAAGCAGTAGGAAAAACTATTTCTGCTTTGCTTTTAAGACGGAATGAGGGTCATCAAGATTTTAAAATGCAAAAATGTGTTTGGTCAGAGAACAACTCAGTCCAAATATTAGCATCTGTTGTTTAAACAGAGAAAAAGGCATGTAGAGAGAGAGTGAGGTATGACCAGGTATGGTTACTGGGGGAGTCATAACAATATCTTACATTATGTTCATGTTAAATCTCAATCATAACATCATTTTACTGTAATTTTTTTTATTTAATTAACTTCCGATTTTACAAATTAAAGCTTTATTACTTCTGGAGAATGTGATAAAAGCCTCTAAAGATTATTCGATATATTTAAAATAACAAGTCTGCCTGGGTCAAATCCAATCACTAATATTTCCCTAATGAAAATAAAATGAAGATTCCTTATTATTAAATAGTATTACATGCTATCTTCATTTATTAGTATTACTTCACCTCTCCAATGCACCTTTTAGTCAAGAATATAATAGTCTGTTATAATTTGATCTCTATTTCATTGATGGACAAACTGGGATATAGAGGTGTAATGACTTTCCTTGAATTGTAGGTCCCATTAATGACAAAGATAGTTTTATTATAATCTATGACCTCTGATATAAAATAGCTAGCTCCATTCTCCATCAAACTGCTGAGGATCCCTTTAAGTGTTAATAGCTGGAAAACCCATAAGTTCTGGATTTTTTTTTATCATATCTTTAGGTTCCAGCATAAGGGTCAGGGGTGTAGCAGGTGTTCAATAAATATTTACTGAATCAATGTACTTATGAAGTATAATATATGTGACTCTTTCACTTAGGAAATTACACTTATTGTGAAGTCTAAATACATAAACTTTACTTATTCCATTGATTTGCTTTGTTTTATCTCTTATAATGAATACTCAGCATACGCCTGCTGCTACATTTGCCTGATCTCAGGATACACGGCCCCACCACCCACACAAACATATGCCCTGCTCATCCTTGCCCACATGAAATTGTTCATAGTTTTCTTGCCACCTTAAATGAATTTCTTTTTACCATCAAATTGAATTTACATATGTATATATAGAGAGAAAAGAACATATGTATAGATAGATAGAGAATATATATTCTCTATCTATCTATCTATCTATCTATCTATCTATATATAGAAAAGAACAACAATTAAATAAATATACGTGTACTGGAGTGAGATGCCCAAGGTCAAATCCAGCCTTTTGATTAACCAGCTCTGTAACATTAAGTACTACACTTCGCCTGTGTCTTATTTTCCCTGTCTGTATAATGAGGATTATGATAGCTTCTAGCTCACAGGATGTTGTAAAAATTAAATCACCAAATAGTTAACAAAGTTGGCTTTGATGTATTTTCAGTTATGTTTAAGACCTTGTTTTTATACTTCCCTGTGCTGTGCTATCAAGCTTCCTTCTCCAGCTTCCACCTTCATCTCCTCCACAGCCTGTCTCTCCTGGACTATTGGATAATATCAAATTTCCTGATTGCGCAATCTAATGACCTTTCTCAGAATTTGTTCTTGTTTTTGCCATAAACAGTTTTAAAGACCCCAGTGAGTCTGTAAATGCTCCCTCCTCTAGTTTCATAACTTGCTCCAGGGTCTCTTTCTATCTCTCTAGACTGTATTTCTAATTTCAAAACTTCTGTTTCTATCCGCGTCAAGAGTTTTAACTTTGTGGCCATCAGTATGTCGTCATCCAGTCTCAAAAAGAAAATCAGTTATATTTTCATGTCAATGATTCATTCTGTCTCACATTGTTCTCACACGTATCCCCTTCCCTCCAAGTCCACTGGCATTCTGTTTAATCAGGTCCTTGGCTACCTGTATTTGAAAAGATCTGTCCAGTCTCTCTCCTAGTCTGATTTACCTCAGGCACAAACATCATCTATTCAAATCACAGTTCTAATTGTATGTCCCTCTCTCAATTACAGAGTTGTAGTTCTTTGCAGTTGCCAGTCAGCTTCTACCTTATTGTGTCTATTCACCTTGTTTTGGACTGAACTGTGTCCACCCTCCCCTCTTCATATGTTGAGACCCTAACCCTCAGTATCTCAGAATGTGTCTGTATTTGGACACAGGGCTTTTAAAGAAATAGTTAAGTTAAAATGAGGTCTTTAGGGTGGGCCTCATATCTGATAGAGCTGGATGCTTTATAAGAAAAGGAGATCAGACACACAAAGGGACACCATGGATGCCTTCCCACAGAAGAAAGACTATGTGAGGACCTGGTGGGAAGGTGGCTGTGGCAAGCCAAGGAGAGAGGCCTAAGGAGAAACCAAACCCACTGACACCTTCATCTGTGACTTGCAGCCCGCAGAACTGCGAGCCAGAAATTGGTGGAGCTGGGGCGTGAATCAATCATGATTCCTTTCACCTCTGAGTTGACACTCTTAGCCACTCAGTATACATAGGTTGCTTCCTCAAGAACTTTTATTATCGAGTTGGTAATGAGCAGAAGTAGTGATTTCTAAGTATCTAGGTTACATTAAAAATAGCAAAATATAATATTTGAAAGCTGAATTTCACAGAAGAATAGAAAAAAGCAGGAGTGATGAATTCTAACAGGCAACAGAAGGGGGACATGGGAATCCTTCACCACAAGGTCAGTGGCTCAGCCGAGCATAAAGGATGGATCAGCATTCCATAGGCGGAGGACATTTATGGCTTGAGCAAGATCAGAGAAATGTGGGCATGTGGAGAGGGTAGAGAGGACAGGGCACAGATGTGGGTGATGCTACATGAAGAGAAAGCTTAGTGAGGTTAGGGAGGGTTGGGGCCACAGAGGACCTAAGTGACTGTACTAGTGGAATTTGGACACTTTAATGGAAGTCAATCGGAAGGTACCTCCTCTCTTAAATCAGTATCAACTTTTTATGGGTATTCTAGGGAATGTGGAATGACAACTTTAAAGATGGCTTAAAAGCAGGACTTCAAAAATTGTTTTAAGCAAAATGTAATACCTCCGAAGACAAACTCTGTGATGCTTAAGGCCAATTTAGTTTCTGAAGTTCAAATGAGCATGAATGCAATTAGCCATTTGCTCCCTTAAAATGAGGATGGATCTGTCTAATGTACCTTGTAATTTGCCAATTGCATGTAAATCATGTTCTTCTGAAAATCACTGAAGTTATATAAAGGGGCAGTCCTTTTACATGTTAAGCCCAATTATTGACACCGTTTTTTCAATTATTTGATCTCCATAAGTTATAACAGAATAATGCAAAGGGATAAAGCTATTTTCAGTTGAATTAAGTGTTATTTAAATGCTTCAGGAGTAATTCTATTAATTCATCTATACATAGTATTGTCTATTCCATGTTGTATTTCTCCCTGATTTGATTGTTCTACATATAATTACAATTTTTCTAGTGACAGATTTTATATAACATCCAAATTTCTAATTAGTTAAATGTTTCATGGCAAGTAAAATGTTGAATGAAACACTTGAATTGGTGAATTAAAGTTGGGCTTCATCAAAATTTCTTGTTTCTATATGAAAATTGATGAGTTTGTTGATGATTTATCGTACTTTCCATTTGAAAGCACGTTATTTGGTGCTGTTAGGTTACCGTGTAAAACATAAAAGGCTAGAAAATTAATACCACGTCTCTCTCAAATCTGATGATGGGATGAGAAGGTAAAATCTAAATCTCAGTCTTCAAGGTCAAAAAGAGATTTCTTGCCTGATTCAATTACTGCTCAATTTGATAGCAGTAAAGGAGTTAAGAGCATCTCTCCTATAATTTGGCTAGACTTTCATTATAAAAAGAGAACACATTAACAGGAAGCCATTAAACACAATTTACGTGTGAATAACACCCTCAGTGGAAGCTTTGCTTCTGCCACTTACGGGATAAAGTAAAGGTAACTGTTTCACATCAATTACCAGTCACTGTGGACAACATACTTTCATTAACTCTGTGGTCAAAAGCATTCATATTTATATTTTAAGAATGACACAGATCCATTCTTTTTGCTATTAATCTGCGTCCCCCACAATTACTGCCCTGATTGTTGTTGGAGTAATAAATTGGCTTTAGTGTTCGTGGGCTTTGCCCCTCCTTTTGGCCATCCTGCTTTGCTGTAGTGTGTAATGTGCCTTCATTTTTTTTGACAGGCTGGAGGGAAAATGATTTCAATTTCACAACAGTGAATGTGGCCCATTTATTTTAATTTCCTTGGTACCCCTAAGAGGAAAAAGCAAAAGTATCTATATTGCAAGTTTCAGTTCAGAGCAGTAGCTATCAATACAAAATGCAAACTAGCTTAGGGATTTAAAGCTTCTATTATTGTCAAAGTTTTTGTTCATGTGTCTTGGATCCATAACAATGCAAAAATGGTTGTAGTTGTGTAATTGAAATGAAGAGACCCAGGTTCAAGTCTAGGCTGTGCTTCTCTCTCTGAAACTGGGGGCCCTGGCAGTTCTGTTAGTTTCTTCAAGTTTTAGTTTCTCATCTGTAAAATGAGGATAGTAATAGCTCTTTTCAGAGTTATTGTAAGGATGAGATTAAATGATATATATTCAACAATATTCATTGAGCCTCATATTGTACCAGACACAGGGCTAAGCTCAATTTATGTGAGCAAACAAAATCTAGAGAAATCTCTCCTCTCTTGGAACTTTTATTTTGTCATGTCAGAAAACAAACAGCAATTTTATGGTATAGGATAGTTGCTCACTATTTCCAGACCTTTCAGCCTGTAACTATAAAATGAGATGACATTTCTTTTAAATGCCAAATTTTACTCAATGTAGGACCAGAACTTCTCCCCAAAGCATCCTTCAGTGCTTCCCAGAGCCCTCAAAGAGCCCTCTAGTGGAAGCACAGAGGACTCACTCAAGTTCCCACCCTCTCCCCCTCCTCAGCCCACCATGACCCTTAGTCTGTGCTGCTGCACTTGTGGTTGGCACAGCCCAGTGCACTGGGGTGCCCCTCTCCACCCCCCTTCCGAACCAACATCTCAGCCTCAGGAAATGCTGAGTCCACATTGCCGTACTGCCCAGCAGACAAATCAAGAATTTACTCCAGCTCCATTCTTGATGAGGCCCATTTCTCTCCTTGTTATTTTCTATCCCTTAATTTGATCTTTTCACTATAAATGACTGGGAAGTCTCACTGGTTTCAGAGGAAATGCCACTTCCCACTCAAAGGGCACACGCCCTTACCCTCAGCTTCTGATGAACAATTGACAGAACAGAACACTCAGTCTCACTCAGTTTTGACTAACACTATGAGGCACCTGTTGTCCAGTCCGTGTTCTCTACCATCTCTCTTCCAGTGGAGGAGTTCTGTGGTTCCTCCCGCCCTCCTTGACGAAGCTTCTTATTTTGAAGCCAGAAACTTGAAGATTTGCAATTCTGTTCCCACCATCAGAGTTTCAAAGAAATCAGGGTCAAATTTTGGTCAAAGATCAGCCCTAAGATGATGACAGCAGATGGTCTATTCCTTTTTACAGCTCTAACACCAGGAAGACTACATTCTCTTTGTCATGTTTTGTGTGTGTGTGTGTGTGTGTGTGTGTGTAATATGGTTGAGATTGTAGATACCACTTTCAAGGGATGTAGTAGAGATGCTAGATTTGAATATAACAATTAACCAAGAGCTCCCCTTCACTCCTTTGAGAATTTTTGATATGATGTTATAAGAGGAAAATAATCCCCCCTTTACCCTCTGAGTTCTTAGCTGAGACTCCTGCAATAAAAGTCATGTTAACAAGAGAAAAACAAAGATACTGATTAACAAGTATATATGCATACCTGGGAGATACCCAGCGGAAAGTGAGAACTCTCTTTGGTGGCTTAGAATTTCAGTTTAGGCCATATCTTCAGCAAAAGACTATATTTGTGAAGAAATGACAGAAAAGGAAAAGCAATTTGTCTTCTAAGGGCAGGGATAAAGGCCAGTTAGTAGAGTGTTTTATATAGATGCCTTTGGTGCCTTCTCCAGACTGATTGGGTCTACAATTGCCCCAGGGGACAAAACTGTCCTTTCTGGTTGAGGGAGGAGGAGAGACTCCTTTGTAAATTTCCATCTTGCTCTTAGGCAAATGGGGGAGGGCAGCGAACTTTGTAGCTATTTCTTCTCAGTTGCTTTCAATTCAAAATACTCTGTATGTCAAAGTGGCACATTTTGTGATAGCACAGTCTGCTACCTTTCAACACTGTTACCAAAGCAGGGCACAAAGTTTTAGAGCAGTCAAAGTGAGCCAGATAGTGAGGAGGAAACGCAGGTGCTTTACTGATATTTACACATGGAAAATACATGCATCAAATTGTCACCTTTAAATGTAAAGAGCAACTTCTGCAAAAATGTGAGGGGATAGTAAATTCAGAAAAGAGAATAACTTTGTTACGCACACAACAGGTGAAGTCTCAAATAGCTCCCCCAGATATTACACCAAGTAGTGCACCTTGATGAGTCCAATTCTTGGTTATGGGTATTGTCAACTGAAATAAATGCACAGCCTAAAAGCTGAGGGTTATGTTTTATTTGGTGGAAGGACTCAAGCCGGGATGACTGCTCTGAAGACGTAGGGGAAAAGCCAGGATATATAGGATCTTTACAACAAAGACTAGGTAGTTGGAACATTAAAAGTTTACTTGTTAACTGAAGAAAGTCAGGCATCTCAAGTTAAAGAATTTAGCGTTTTTTCTATGTATGGGAGGGAGCAAACATTTGGGCTCATTGAATTCATTCCTTTGACAAGCACCTAGCTATCTAGGGCCAGTATCCTGTCCATTTCTTATTCTGAGATGCACCCTCAGGGTGCATCATTGTGAGTGGCTGCAGAGGCTGCACTGCAGGCTTGTCTTCACTGGGGGGTGGCGGCAGCCGCTGATGTCTTGATGGCGTCAGCATTCTTTGTTTACTGATGTGGTTTGCAGTATTTTTTGTTCACCGTATTTTCTTGGGACGATAACAAACACTTGGAATTTTCAGTGTTCTTGATTAAATTCTTTATTTCCATCCGTTCTCACACTGTTAATATTTTATCATAAAGAATTTTGTTGAAAGGCTTTAATGGTGTATGATGTGCAAATAAATGTTTTTTTCCTCTCAAAATAACAATACAATTGAGTTTAAGACCAATATGCTCACAGTTGGATGAAACCATTTTTAAAAGTGCTAAAATAACAGTGTTTTAGTAACCCAGAGGCAATTATGACACTGAGTGAGAATTTATCCTCAGGAAGATCAAACTCAACACGATGGTGTCTACTTCTAATTAGCTACAAGGTAATATTTTAAAATTATTGGCAATTGAATAGACCTTAACATTTCAGACTAAAAGACAGAACCTAAGCATGTGTGATGCCTCAAATACGTTCTTTAAGCCAGAGAAAACATCAAAGAAATCTCCATTTTTCTGTTCTTATTCAAAAGTGGTGTTTTCTAAAGGTACGGTTGATACTGCTACACATTTTCAGTGAATTGAAACTTTATCAGAGATCTTTCAAGTGTTGAAAAGTTAACAAGATTGTTAACAGAGGTGCTCAAAATCGTTCAGATTCCTCTCAATGTCTCCGAGGGAGATTTTTTCTCTGTGTATTGGGAGGGCGCCTCTCACATGAGGGTTTTATGTCCTTTTTAGGGAAAGATCAAAGTCCTTCTCACAGCTTAAAACATTCACTACGCCAGGTTGTCATATTTGGGGATAGTGTGTCCTGAACCCTGTCACCAGCTACTCCATTGATAGAACTTGCACACTGTAGGTATTCATTATTTGAAGGATGAATGTCACTGAATAGATGAAAACCCTAGGTCATGGGTTCACGCTGTGCATACATTATTTAGCTTGTTTTTGCACCCTTTGTTTGGCTAATGTTATTTCTAGAGTTGTTTATTCTTGTCATTGTTGTTACGTTTAGAGCTGGTTATTCTTCGTCACTGTCTAAAACTCTTACAGAAGCCTATGGTTGCTTCATGAACCTTTTCATCAAAGTCAGGTTTATGACGCAGATCTGTATACCTTAATTTCTGGGATGTATGTGATAAATCATTTCTTTGACAGCCTGTCAAATTATTCTGGTTAATTGAGATCCATTCATGTGATTGTCTCTTTAGCGGAATCATTGAGTTGGTACAGTTTGTGGTCATGTTAGAATGGATTTATTGAGAAGGGTCTGCGTGACTTTTCAAGCCGTGAGAGTCCTTAGAAACATTTTAAGATAAAATTTAAATTGTCTTTATTGGACATTATACACAGTGTTCTCCTTTTAAGTCTGCGAAACAGTCGAGTGATGTCGATTGGTTCCCCTACTTTTCCTTCCGTCTCTAACCTCATTTATAGGTTAGAAAGTACAGGATTGAGTACTGCCTTTGATTTAAGTAGCCAAATACTTCTGTGTATAACTTAGATCTCATAAAATGTACATAGTGTGTGTTCAACTTAAATACCATTAAAAAAAACGGACAAAACCAATAACAATGCATATATATTTATTTTAGAATATAAAAAAGAAGACCTGAAAAACAGCCCTAAATATAAACAAATATTAACTAAAAGGATGATCACCACACCATTTGTTTTTATGTCAAAAATAGAAACTTCCAAATGTCACAAGAAAGGAGTAACAATTAAATCACATCTTCAATAACACCAAATACAAGCAGTAGTAGAATATATATATAGTTAAATTTTGGCAAGGAAAAAAATCTATATTTATAGATAAATAGAAGTGTGATCCCAAATATATTTATATATCATGGAAGTAGATTATAAAATTACATGTACAGTATGATATTGTTTTACTGGAAGTAGACACGTTCAGATATGCAGATATAGCTAGAGACAGTAAACAGAAAGGCGCCAACATCTTCACAGTGAGTGCCTCTGGATGGTAGAATGACCAGCGACTTTTGCTTTCCTTCTTACTCGTTTAGGTTTTCTGCTAAGGAAATGTATCACTTCATACTAAGAGAATGGAAGAAGTTAATCTTCACAAAGGAAAAAAAAAAAGTCCCAAGAGCTTTATTTTCTTTCAGCATTTGGTTTAAACACTTGAAAACATTTGCATAGTTAACGCTCTAAAACAAATGATTGCCTGTGAGTAGAATAATACCACGGAAACAGCAAGCATGATAGACACCACTCAAAGTGTGCCGTGACCCTTGCTGTATGTAAGGCGGCCCTCAGGGTCTGTGTCACACGATTGTATGATGAGTTTAAAAATGTTCAGTGACCCACTTCTGACACCCCTAGGTCAGAGACTTCCTGCGACTAAATCTTGGGCTCTGATACATGGTGTTACGGTCGCTGGTAGTTTCTGCTTCTCTTGTATTTTAACGCACATGTCTTTTTGACATTTTTGTTAAGAAGGCAAATATCTTGGATAACATCAGTTTGTAGGTCACACATCCATCTGAACCTGTCATTTACCCAAATTGCAAAGCCATCATGTGTAATTTGTCTCAATTAGCAATTTTATAGTTAGTAATTAACTTTACTGTTAATTGATTCTCTCTGTAATAAATGCTCGAGGAAGTGAAATGAATACGTGTGATTTTTTTGTCAAAGAGAAAAATTTTAACTTGAGGTTTGAGCAAAAGCTGCATTTCCTTCTTGGAAGGACAAATTTTTCCTGCCAAAAATGGCACCAAGAGACTGATGGGAATTTGTATCAACTCTTTTTTGACAGTTGAACATTATGTAGGTAATTTTGATATTGTTTTAGTTTTTAACTTTTGGACTTTTTTCTCATTAGAAATGCAATTTTACCTAATTTTTTAAACATTGATGTCTAGGTCTTGATGTACTACTCTCCCTAAAAGATTTAATTAAATGCTCTTTCATAAGGAAATCTATTACACTACCCATTTGAGGAAGCCTGTATAAATTTGTAAAGGATTAATTTTATATTATATCTGAGTCATTCACTAATGCAAATGCTAATTTGAAAGCTTGGCTTGCTGTTGAGGGACTGAATATATTTCAGCACAGCAGTTTGGGTTATGCTCTTTAGTGCAGGAGGCGAACTTTCAGTTTAAAGACCTCATTATGCTTATGAATATATGGGAGGGGTGGGTAAAATGCAATTAGAAAACAATACCAGCAAATCAGCATGCATATTCTTACATGAATATTTGGAATCCAAGAAGCAATTTTGTCTCCTTTAGTTGGTTCTAAAAGTAAAGATTTAGGGGTGTGGTCTGTGTTTTTATGTTGTGTAGCAGATTCGAAAAGAGGAAAGGATTTAAAAATATATAGAGCAGAAAGTGATGAGGTGCTTGTAAGAGGAGGGTCTCTGGCTAGGCCTGAAAATTAAACTGACAAAGGCAGATTAACAAAAGAAAAGCATGCACATTCTTTTAACTTAAGCTTTTTGAGACAGGGGAGCCCTTTTAGGGAAACAAAGACCCAAAGAAGTGGTTAAGCCAGAGCATTTTCATTCCAGATTCGATGATGAGCGGAGACTCATGAAAAACCATGATAGGACACAAGGTGTGAGCTTAGGGAGGTAAGCTGGGGGAAACAGCAAGGCCTGTTTGGATCCCTCTAGGTGGCCCTATAGAACAAGGGTCTTCTCACCCGCCTCAGGGGAGACAAGGGAGGTTGCAGAGTCCTTCCAGCACCTGCTGTTTTTATAACCTGCTTCGGGGGAGGGGATTTATGACAGGGAGGCCCTGCTTTTTGGGCAGCTGGGGTATTCAGGAACTCACATTCCTTCAGCTCAAAATAAATCTGATGTCAGAGTGGCCTATTTTGGGGTATCATTTCCTGATTCCCTTCGAGCTTCGCACCGTTCCCATAAATGATTTTACCACTGAATATATCCATTTACCCAATTGTTTTTTCTTTCTTGGTTTACCCCCTTGATTTCTTGCTTTCGATGAACCTATCTTGGCTCTGATCTCTGGTAGATTAATGGATTGAGAAGGGTGGGCAGTGATGAAGAAACTTAAACCAAGATTGTGTGGAGAGAGAAATACATTCCTACTGCATGCAGGGCCCCTAAATATTTGTCTTGTATTTCTTGGTATCACTGAATGATTCACAAGGACTGGTGCTGCTCAGTGATGATGCATTCATGGGTGAAATGGAAAAAATAAAGCAATAAAGTTTTCCTAAAGCTAAATATATTCAATTTAAAGAACTTCCCTTTATTTTGAGATAGATTATAAAACTCTCTTTTTTTTGAGTGAAAAATATCCCTTTGTTTAATGAAATGATAGTTTTAGTAGAAGAAAGGTTGTCTGCTTTGGTTTGAGTTTTTTTCTGTCTTTTCTGGGGAAAGCAATTAGATGGAAATTCTATTTTGGTTTCCTAGATATATATATTTTTTTAATTCTAATGTATTATTCTCTGAACACAATAATCTCAGAAGCCACGTAACATAAACTAATAGAAGTGAGACAGCTCCTCTCAGCATTCGGGTGAAGACACACACCCGGGAGCCGCCAGCCGCACTGGTTCTAAGTTTACAGAGAAAACAGATTTGAGAGAATAAATCTTTATGCAGAATCAGAGAAAGATGATGAGAGAGAGAGACAAGGAGAGAGAGAGAGAGATCCAGAGGTCATCACTTTTCTGTTTCATTATCTGTAAGTCCAGCTCCTCTCTAGATTTATTTACGTGAAATAATACATTCCTTTCTTTGCATGAGATACTTTGAGTTGGCTTCAGTCACTTGCACATATGAGTGTCCAGGTGAAGGAATTTCTGGAAGGGGCAATCTCCGGTTTCCTTTGAGGGACCCTTGACCATTTTCTTTCAAGAGCAATGCCCACAGGCAGACACTGGAGTGAGACTCTTGACCTGGATTACGGGGTCACACGTCTGAGGGGAGGTCACTATGATGCTCTCTCTCCCTGCTCTAGGTTCTGTTGCTCGATGTTCCACAGATGGCCAGGAGGTGGTGGAGATCTCTGCCACCTTTAGCAAACTTCCGATGCTCCATTTTCTCTCTAGGTTTCTTGGTGCATGCTTGCTTGATTTCGACCTCCTTTTAATGTCGAGCACTTCCTGGCAGTCAGATAGACAGCCCCAGGGTCTCTCCTCAACCCCAGTGAAGCAGCTCACCTTTGTTTATTCAGTTGACTTTACACAGCCTTTGCTCCAGGGCTGAGTTGAAATTTAACATATGTTTGCTACTTTGACATAAAACAATCTATAAAATCCCAGAATTGCAAGGTGAAAAGAAATACATGAGTGTTTAATTTTCATAAACTGTAAGCACAGAAACAAGGAGATTGGAGGTTCATATGATTTTCAACACATCATTTTCATATCCTTGTATGAGATCATATCTTGGGAATCCTTTATTAAAATGTGGCTAGTATTTATTTCCATTTTTGTGTCTTCCCTTCTTTCTCTTCTAATGACATATAGTTTTCATATTTCTATTATTTTTAAGGCCAATTAAATAATAAATCTTCCTTAATTCAGATTCAAAGTAATATGTAATTTGCAATAAGTCAGATAGGAAATTTATTGTAAATTTATGAATCTTTACTCTTATAAAGAAGACTGTTTTTTTAACAGAGAAAATTGATAATATAAGCATACTTATTAAGATAGTAACTAATTTTTGAAGCACTTTAAATCTGCATATGCATGAAAACAATTGATATGCTAATTTAGCATATACAAACTTATCTTCTGAAGTACCTTCACTTGACAACAAACTGGTAATTAGGTATGCACTGCAGTAATAATTAAAAGTCAAAATTTTCAGTCACTCTCATTGACTATACCTCACATCGAACTGAATAATTAGGGTTATACCAATACAAATTTACACAATATAAAAATATTAGGATTATCTTCACAAATAAATCCTGATGGCTAAAGATTTTTTAACTTTTTTTCCTGAATTATTTAAGAATGTCACAGCAAAACCCATGACTAATGAATACCATTTGGTCAATAGTTACAGCTAGTGATGAGTTATCTTGCCTCTCGAAGGATGGATTCTCCACCATTTATGGAATCGCTTGTAGGAAGATGCAAAAGAGAGAACGAGTTTTAAAACACAGTCTAGAATGTTGACTCTGGAGAGTCAGGAGAGAAATCGCTGGAGTGGAAGCCTTGGGATCAATTGTTGAAACACTGCTGTCTGTGAGCAGGGAGGCGGAGTTGGATGCAGGTTGAGGAAATCATGGTTCTATATTTCCTCTTTTAGAACATTCATTTGATGTACACAATATCATTCATTCCTTGTACAGAGTTTCTCAAGATCCTTTGAATCTTCTGGGTACATTCTGACTTGCTATCATTTTTCAAAACCTTATAGGACCTTGAAGAGGGGCAAAAAGGGGTTTCTGGGTTTTGGTTACACAAATTTGTTTCCCTTGTAAATGTTGATTAAGCTATAAAGTTAGGATTTGGGCACTTTTCTCTGCGTAATGTATACTTAAATCTAATTTTACTTAAAAATGAAGAACACCTAAGTGGATGTTTAAAAAATTACCAAAAATTTATACCCATAAATTACTGGAAGAAGGAGTCATTGAGAGAGATGAAGAGGAAAAGGCAAAAGGCAAAAAACAAACAAACAAAAAAAACCAGAAAGAGTAAAAAAAGGAAGTAAGAGAGGCAGTATCCTATGGCCACAGTGTGTCTGTGTGCTCCTCAGCTCACATTTATCCACCACCTATTGAGAGCCAGAAATATGCTCTGTGCGCTACATATAACACCTCATTTAGTTCTCCCCAAAACCTGATGAATTAAATATTATCATCTCTATTTTACAGGTTAAACACAACCCTAAAAATTCAGCAAAGATATATTACTCTAGGATCCCAAACCTGATACCTGCAAGAGCTGGGGTTCTATTTGGAGACAGGCTCCTTCTCCCAGGTTACCTACGATGCTTTTTGGTAGTCATAGGAGCTCCCTCTTCTCACTTCTCAGGCATCCAAAAGGCTGGTGAGGGACGGGATATGGGCAGAAAGGCACAGAATGAGTATCATGAAATCTCAAGGGAATTAATGCCCATTACTTCCTTTGAGGTGGAAATCCATCATCGCAGTGTGGAGAGGCACTGCTGTTAAATTCTCTGCAAACAGCCATCTGTCTGAGATCTCCCTGAAGTGGCTGCTGTCCAGGATGACTGTGTTGCTGCAGTCTTGGAGTGGCTGGAGCGCTGTAGTGTCTATGTTAATAGCTGAGAAATAGCAGCAGCCGCCAGACCACTCCAATGGAACAATTCGAATCGGGGTAAGTTTGAGCAAAAAAGTCATGCTGACTGTGTGATGAAGAGGCAGAACTGGTTATAGTGACAAGCCCTGCAGTCAGCAGCTGCGGGTTTTATGTGAAGGGCAGACTGATCTGGAAAATGGGAAGGGTTGGTTGCCAATAACTTTTGGGAGGGAGTTGTTCAGTGCATCCCCCCATTCCTTATATAACACTCACCACAGAGAGACACTTAGGAAATAAAACACACTTGAAACATCAGATGAGTATACATAGTTGCTAGTGTAGAGAGAAGATAAAAGGAGTTTTCATTGCAAAAATCCAAACAGGGCACCAGGGCTTTGTCTGCTACATCCAGAAGTTCATAGCTCCCTGGTGTTCCTACTGCCCCTATATTAATAACATGGACCTGACCATAGTTGAACTTCCACAGTAGAACACAGCTCACCCATAAGTCAGAAAATATTTTTTTGAGTATCTGTTAGGTATAAGGTTCGGAGTGTTAGGTATTTAGGGAATAGAACGAGAGAGGTCCCATGATTCTGCCAGTAACCGTGAGCCTGCTGAATGAGTAATGCATGCAGTGAGGACTACAGGAGTGCGTGTCTCTCTTCAGGAAAACACGTTATCTTCTGGGGGGATCAGTTATATTTTAAAGAATGATTGGGAATACTTTAGGTTTACGGCCCACATACAACATCTCAGAGTTATGTTTTCTGTATCCCACTGAGAAGAATTTTCTCCTTGTACACAAGACAGTCATTTGTATGTGGCCCTCTGTAGGTCTCCCCAGGGCATTTCTGGAGAAAGAAAATAAAATAATATTTAGAAAAATAGTCATCATTCAGAGCCATGGAAGACTCTGAAGTCTTCTATCAGAAGCCTTGAAAAAGTCAAATTTCCCACCAAAGGGCCACCATAAATCAAGTCTCTCATAAACACCAATGACTCCTTGGGTCCTTTTATGTGCTTGTTGACAATATAAAATCACCACCGTGCTGTCAATCTAGCTGTAGTTAAACAGTAGGCATTGTAGTAATGCCATTTGGACTTCGTGGCATCTTTCACTTAGAAATCTTGAATAAACACATTCCATTTTATCAGCATTCTACTGCACAAGATAAACAAATAAAAATTAAATGCCTACCTTTACAGCACACCCATCGTTTTCCATAAGCCCTCATGGTTCTTTCTTTAGCAATTCCTGACTAATAATTCCTCTTCCAATACTAACAATAATAACTGTGACTGAGTATATGCCTCCTGGGGGCCAAGAATTAGAGATACTTTACACACATTGTTTTATTTAACTACATTCTCAATCCTGATTAATCATAATATTGTGTAGATTTTTCTAGAAATCCGATTTTGAAAAACTGATTAAGCACGTAGATCAAACTTAGATTTTCCAAATAAGGGCACCGATGCCAAGAATCATTAAGTAACTAGCCTGTAATCCTTCTGACTTAAGGTTACAAAATATGACTTAAACATGACTCAAAAAACACAAACCCAAAATACAAAGCATAAACAGGAAAATTAAGATGTTCTGTTCAATGAATGATATTATACACAAAACTGAAAGAAAGATCACAGCTTAACAGAAGGTATTTTCAGCCTGTAAAATTGATAAAGGAGCTTATTATCAGAATATACTAGGAATGCCTTTAAATCACCAACAATGTCAGGGACTCCAGGAGAAAATGGACAGAGTATTTAGGAAAGGAGAGATACAGAAGGGGAAGCCCAAGTGGATAATAAGCTTATAAAGCAATGTTTAAACTTATTAGTAAGGAGGGGAAATGCAAATTAAAGCAGTGACGTGGCATTTTGTATCAATCTGACAGGCAAAAAGTAGAAAGGTGGATCTCTTTCAGGAATGCTGAGGATGTGGGAAGCCAGGAATACCTGTGCCCTGTTGACAGGAGTGTCAACTGGATTGGCCTTTCTGGAGAAAAAGTTACTGCTGCAGAGAAGCACTGATAAGAGCGCC